CCCTGCCCCCCAATCTTCATGAGAACTAGGGACTCTTGTCTGAGACAGTTTCTCAAGTTACCTTCTTGGCCCGGACTCAGGTCTCTCTTATCTGACCGTTGTCTTGGTAGCGGCTTTTCTTCCTATCCCTCAAGGCCATTCCTTTCGCCCACTCTGGCAGCTTTTCAAATTTCTGTTATCCTACCTTACCACAATAAAATAGCATTCCTGGAATCCTTGCAATGCCCATTTCCTGACCTGGCCTACCTCAAAGGGCTGACATCACCCCAAGGGCTGGTTTAGGTTTTCAGACATCTGCCCCCAAACAGCAACACACTTAAAGGTCTCGGAGTGAGTCATTTCTCCTGGCCGAATGCATGACGAGTTTCCAAGAGTCCTCTTGGCTTTAACGGCCGCCTTCCACAGTCAAGACTGACGCTGTGACGCTTCCCCCCCGAAAGCCGTGGTTAGAAAACACTCGCCCTCCTTCCTTCAAGACGCTTTCTCCTTTGTGGTGCAAGGATGGACAGAGAACCTCCTCCTCCTCCGGGGATCCACAAGATGCAACTCACTGCTCTGCCTCCCTTTCCAACAGGTGCAACTTCATCCCAGAAGGAAAACAGTATCATCTGATGGGACCGTAAAGATCAAACTTCATTGATATAATACAGTAGATTGGCTGGTCTTAAGGTGCCAGAAGACTTTTTTGTCAGCTGGGCTACTCTGGAATAGGGTGCGGGAATGAAGAATAACGGTCCTAAATTGAGAGTTCCCATTTCCCCCCCCCCAAGAAGGAAGGTCCGGCCGGGTTGAGCCCATTTCCAGACTTCTCAGCCAAAGAATTTGAGCCTGAGGCTGACGACGACGAAAACCTTGAGGAAGTACAACATGCAGTCAGGTGTTACTTTACTCCAACCCCCAGGCAGACAAAAGGGCTGAGCCAGCCCATCTGGACTCAAACCCGCCTCCAGGAAGAGGGCAAGGCTACAAAATTGGTTTAGCTAGATTCATTTGTGGCAGGAGGCTCTCGTCCACGTCGCCGTGCAAGAAACCAGAAGCGCTAGCTTTCCTGGACAGAAAGCCGAACACAGAGGAACACGCTGTTCGGTATTTATGTCACACAATTCCTTGAAGTGTCCTGTTAGGCAGTAACCACAAACCAGATGGATGGAGATTGGGACTGAAGTATTTTGGGAACTGCAGCGTAGGCCAAAATAAGAGGACCATCTTGCTTGCGCCATGAACGTTCGCTGGGGTTCAGCTTCTCCCTTATTCCAAGAAACCTGTGGTTGAAACCCAGGCTGATCCACTCCCCTCTTCAGGACTGTGCATACCCTGGAGTTTTGTGGGGAAAAACAGAACTTCAGGCTTGGAGTTTTGCTTTGTTTTGGGGGAAGAAACAAGATTCCAGCCCTCGTTCTTAGAGAGAACTCTTAAAAAGCACGTCGGCAGCGCCCCATCAGAGCACTGGCTGAACGGTTCCCAGGTTTCAGAGAAGTTTCACCTCAAGGGCTGCCCTATCAGTGCTGGCTGGCAAAATCGGGTTCAATGATGCCATTCCGCCATCGCAGAAACGAAAGAATGTGTTGCCTTCTGGGCATTTGCTTAAAACGCACTTCATACAGGCCACAAAATGCCGGGGAGCTGGATTCAAGAGTTCGCTTGAATAATAAGGAGCAAGTTCTTCCTCGGGCGTATTTAAGCAGAAATGCTTAAAAAATCAAGGGCGGTCACTTCCTCCTTGGGGCAAGGTTTAGCCCTACCCCAGAGGAAAATGGGGGGCTTCTGGTCCTTCTGGGGAAATTGAAAAGTGCTCCCCCTCTGCACCCTTAGAGCAAAGTCTGACTAAGGAACCAGGCGGAAAAAGTCTTGCCATCTTGTCTGCAAAGGAGGGGCACCGACCTCGATCGCAGGTCTTCAGCCAACCCCGACAAGGTTGTAGCCTGCCCCGAAATGGGTCACTGCACCAGGACCCCTTCCCCACAACTTTGCTTCCTTTTAAAAGAAAAACCTATCAGACACGGTTGTCCTAAAATGACGCCTGTGACCACCATTTGGGGGGCACCATCTAAATGCAAAGAAAATCCACCTTATTTTAGCACTGCAGAAATATAAACTTGAATATGATTAAACCAATTCCCTTTTTCAAGAGAAAGATGTATTTGAAGGTGTCATTTTCCCCCCTCTTCCGCTCACCTGCAGCTTATTTATGGCCATGCAACAACCGTACAGGATCTCTCCTCTTCTCAGGCATCCTGTCCGAGGGGGAAAAAATGGGAAGGATACAGCTTTGAAACCCCCCCTTCAGGCTGGAACCCGAGGCAACGGCTTCGACTCCAGGCCCATCCCGCCAGCGGCCATGCCTGCCCGCCTTCAACACCTGCCTTTCATAACATTGCACAAGACAGCTCGAAAACAGCAACACGTGAGGATGCGTAAGCGAGAATCACCCTCCAGATGTTCCCAACGGACGCCGAGACGCAGCTCCGCCCAAAGCCATTTAGAGGCTCACTTCCAACATTTCAGAGTTTGGAGCAGAAGAAAACCGACAGGCACCAAAGTACCCCCATCCCTCCAAGGCCAGAGCTTCTGGGCAAGCTTCATGCCTCGGCATCGCTGGGCAGGTCCACTTGGCCCCACGCAGCCAACCTCTTGGAGCAGAAGGCCCCTCGGCTTCCAAGGAATCAGGGTTTGGAAGCCAGGCCTAGAAAGGCCCTCCGCCTTTTCCTGGGAACTACGCTTGAAGCTGCCAACAAACTTTCATTTTCAGTGGGACAGAAGGGGGGAAATGATTAAATGCACAGAGAATCGCCATTTTAATTCTAGCTTTTGTTCAGGCTCTGCTCATTTTTGAGCATGCCCCTCTCAAAGGCCAAATGGGGTCCTTGCTCTGAACAGTACCACACTGCCCCTCACTGGTCTTCCCCAACCTGGCGTCCTCAACGTATTACCGCAAGAGTTTCCAGTACTTGTCCAGCCTACAGCCCGCCATGTCTCCAACAGGGCAGGTTGGGAAAGGTTTATCAGCGGCGAGACTCCTAGAAGCCCATCAGCCGAGCCTAAGTTTCTGTTCTCCTCCTCCGGCCCCACTCGTCACTTCCTGCAGGAAGGATATTGGAACCCGCTGCCCACGGGAGACTCGAGCACTTAAGCATTTCGCTGCTTTCACGATCAACCTTTTGGTTCAGAAGATGAGGCTCGCTTGCCTCCATTTCACATTCGAATCCTGAATACAGGTGCCAGGTGGAACTTACCTACGGAAACAGTAACAAATAGTAATTTTCCAAGGTGATGCTCAAGAAGGCAAAATGAATTTTGGAAGTTCTTCATCCTACACTTTTGAAAATGCGTGGCTCCTTCTGCTTCAAACGCACGTCTTTTGTTTATTACGGTGTCTGAAATGGTCAATGACTTATGGGAACATAAGAATGAAAGAACTAAGACATGCTACCCCTGCAGCTGAAGGTTCTCTCTGATTAGCTTTGAGAAAGGAACACAGAGGGCCTCATCATCACTAAAAACAGGGTGCCTCCATTTTAGGCTGAGGTCAGAGAGTGGGAATGCCTATAAGCAGAGATGCATCTCCACCGCTGGAAAAAGACTGGATGGTTGCTCTGACCCAGGGACACAATTCCCACATCAACTAACTCCAATGTTCTTGATATACGATGGCCACAACGCTCAGAATCCCCATTTGGCCAAACCATGGGCACCTCTCCCATTTGAGCCACACCAACTTATATTGCTGATGAGAACCAAATTCTGTTTCTTCATAAAAATGCGGGTTCCAGATATCACTTTGGCAACAACAGGATGGAATAATCCTAACAAGAATTTGACACTGTCCAGATCAGTATTTCTCAACCTTGGTGACTTTAAGATACGTGGACTTCAACTCCCAGAATTCCCCAGCCAACACTGGTTTAAAGCCTTGAATGAAGAGGACTTCATCCTGCAGTGGACTGCTTCAGACTGATAGTAAATATATAAAACCTCTAACGGAGACTTTTGTTAGAAAGTAAGAACTCTCCAACAAAAACAATGATCAGAATTGGCACTGGTGCCATGCAATTGCTGAATTCTCCTATCTAATCCTGAAATTATTACCACAAATAATCGTCATTAACCCACTCATTGTGAAAATAGAGAAAAGGTAAAAAAGCAAGGGGAAAGGCTGTTTTAGTAATAGTTTGGGGTGGTTTTTAAGTATACTCAATGTGAGCAATTGCTGTGAGTTACTTCTCTGCCTCCGGTTCTCCAAAAGCTGACTCTGGTGCTGCTCTGCTCTTAGGCCATTCACACATTATGCTGCAACTCCCAAGTGACGGACTGCACGTGTGAACCATCCCCACAGATTCTCTCCACCCCGTTTCATCCTGAGCTATACTCTGTTTTATAACTCCCAACTCTTCCTGCCGACCCTGATCACAATCTTGCAAGTATTAGCTAAAACTAATATGAAAATTCAGGCGTAAGAAATTCCCGCACTTTGGGTTGGTTGGTGTTAATCCAGAACATGACATCTCTAGAAGTTCTTGGAAGGGTAACAGAAAGGAAACACAGCCAGTTCCAGTTCATTAGGGGCCACGGAAATCCTTGGAAAAGAAAAAAAAACAATGCTCTGAAAATCCCTTTGTTAGGGAAGAGATCTGAAAACAAAACAGCTGGGCTCAACCCAATCCTCTAAATTAAAATCAATCTAAGATGGTCTGTAGGGTGTAACTCACTCGGCTGCACACTCATAGCCTTTAGCGCTACAAGGGGAAAAAAACTAAAAAGGAAATTCCTCAGAACTGAGGTAGTTTCTGAAGCAATCAGGACATTTTTTGAGAAAAAGAAGAAGGACGAAGTATTTAAGCTGTTTACAATCCACCCCCCCAGGCATGCATGTACATTCCCTCTGTGGGTTTTATGCCTTTATGATTGGTTGTGGGGAGAAAATAACAGCGAAGATTCAGCCTAAATTCTGCCTCGTTTAGCAACATGGCATTTTAATAAATAAGTGGCTACTTCTGGAAAGATTATGCCTGTGGGATCGGTTTATTGTTATAGCTCAACCAAAGGTCTTCCAGGTTTATCTAAAGTTCCTTTACAAGATCACGGGGTGCAAACTCTGTGCTACCAATCCATTAATGCTTTGAGCATAAGAACACAAATGGGGGAAAGATAAAAGAATGCTAAATTGTAAAAACAAAAACATTCTCCAACAACAATTTTGGGAAACCTAGATGCCGACAATTGTTCAAAACTAGGAAAAAGATCTAGGATGGTTTTGGGTCTTTCTATAGATTTCACACACGTCATTCTTTTGGAGCCATTTCATGCCATTTTTCAGACAGTTCCAGCCATGGAAACTTCCAGGTGGACCAAATATTTGGGAGGTAGCTTTGCCTTCTCTCTAGGCGAACTCTTTCAACCTCTCCTGGATCCCAAAAGATTATTTCCAAATGGAGCACAATGCTGTGCCTGGAACCGGTGCTCCACCATTCCCCTAACAAGGACCTTGGAAGGATTCCTACCACAGTTTATCGCCCTGAAAAGAACCTGCTGATAAAAAGAAGCAAGTCCTACTGAATCAAATGGTCCTTCAGATCCAACAAAAGGAAGATGCTCTCAATCTCTTTTCCTTCTAAGCCAAGCCACCCCCAAGGACATCCGCAGGGAGGGGCCCAAAAAGGTCAAAATGGCAGTCGCAGTGATGCAATCAAATCCCCATTTTTTATATGTGAGGGTTGCCATCTTGACTTTGTCCCCCATGAAGACACCCTTGTAACCTCCCCAACTCTAAATGCAGACTGACCATTTCCTTTGGGAAGAGCAAGATGTATGCTCCCCGTAACAGGAAATAAAGTACATTAAACCAACTCTTCACATGGTCTTCTCAAGAATCCACACTTCTCCTCTTCTAGAGAAGCATCTGCCCCGAGAGTCACATGTGGGATCTGGACGAAAGAAGGTGATTTTTGTTGCTCTTTAGCAACTTCTTTCTCTGTCTATGAAATATGATAAATTAAAAAAAAATCCTTTCACTTCTGTACAGATAAATTTCGTATTTCAGGAAAGACATAATCCTCGAGACATGCCAAGCTAGAACCGTTTGAGTTTTTTTTTTTTAAAGTCTAAAATAAAATTAAAGGAAAAGAGAAGGGGGGAAAGAAAACTTGATTTAAAAAACAACAACAGAAAGCAGAGCTAACGACAGGCCTGTATATACACTTGGTTAACCACATTTATTGTGGTTTCTCAGTCAACAGATCAGATTAACTGGTCCAAACGGTTCTGTGTTTTTTTTCCCCTTCCCAAAAACTGAAAGGGGGGAGGGAAAAAAAAACTAAAACCACTGGCAACAAGAGTTTTTTTTAAAAAAAAAACTGTACATGGTTTTCCATTAACTTACAAAGGAACCTTCCACACCTCCCCCAAAAGTCTCTAGATGGTATAAACGTGAAATCCGGTCCCTCTTAGCATTTTTTAAAAAAAGTCATTTTCCCCTTGCAACTGTTTAAAAAGAAAAAAGGAGGAGGAGGAGGAGGAGGAGGAGGCACAGTTATCTCCATTGTCTTTGCCCCGTTAGGAACAAGAAGATGCTTAGAAGCAGAACGGCTTCCGATGGGCCCAGACTGGTGGCCGAATCAGTCATTTTTTTATCTACTTTGTTGGCCTTCTGCGTGACTTCTGTCGCGTTGAGCACCAATTCGGGAGAACACTGCTGCAATTCGCAGCCACTCCCACTGCCTTCTCCACTGCTTTCATCGCCTGGAGAAAAAAAGAAAAATTGCACGGATGATTCAGGTTTTAAGATTCACCAGAATGCCTTTTCTGGGACTTCTGCTCCGGTTTGGCCTCTCTTTGCGCCGTGCACGTTCAGACCACCGTAGCGAGCAAAGTGAGACAGGTAACAAACTAATCTGAAAACCACGGGCAGTTCCGCTCTTGTGGCCAGCATTTCTGGAAGGCTATGGTCTGCTGGGGAGTTACTGTACCCAGCTACTCCCCCACCCCACACCACCTTCCCCCCTTCAAATGCTTCCAGGCTATAGAAGCTAACGCTCCGGGATAAGGGTTCTTGACTACCTTGGAGTTGACATCTCAACAGTAACCTCCAGACTCAAGAGCTCAGCAATTCAAAGTTCAACTGGGAATGGGTTAATCCAGTGTTTCTCAATCTTACCAACTTTAAGATGGATGGACTTCAACTCCCAGAATTTCCCAGCCAGCCATGCTGGCTGGGGAATTCTGGGAGTTGAAGTCCACCCATCTTAAAGTTCCCAAGGTTGAGAAACACTGGTTGAATGTGTCTGTGGGCCCCTGTGGTGCTTTCTTCTTATTGTTACGGTTGTTTTAGTCCAGGCCCTTTGTGTAGTTTTAATGTTTTTAACAGTTTTTAAGGATTTTTGTAAGGGTCTGCCGGAGTGGGGAGCCATAACAAATTTAAATTAATAATAAATGAATAAGCAATTCTTGCACAAAACCCAGAAGATTCCCTGCTAGTCAAGGGGAAAGCAGAGTGGGAAACCAGTTCTTTCTGAAGGGTGAACTGATCTCAGGGAGACACATCAAGTTGTGGGCATACGGCTCACATACACTTCCTTGTGTGCACGCACACACCGGTCATTGCCATTCATGGTTTTTATTTTCCAATAAAAATGAGCATCCTTGGAAATAAAGACATACTGGAGATCGCTGCGTTGCCAGATTCTCTCTTTCTTTATATTAATTTAAATTATTTTAATGTTTAAATTATTTTTTTCAAGAAAGGGTAACAAATCAAAGCAGAGAAGCTGGGCGGAGGGAAAATCTGTACTGTGCTTTCTCACAGATCAGAGGGGTGGGGACTCCTGGGAGGGAGGGGCAAAACGACCCCCTCTCAATTTCTCTCATCATATGGTCAGAGGCCAGTGTTGCAGAAAAAGGCCTCCCAGAGCACCCAACATCTTGGAGCCTTCATGTGGCTCCCTGCAGATTAAGATCTGTTTAGAAAGCAACGGCCTGCTTACTAATATCGATGAAGTCCACGTCGTTGCCATTGTAGGCATTCTTCAGCTTGCTGACCATCACTCGGAGGGACATGATTTGCCGACGGATCACCATGTCTGGTTTCGACGTGTCGACTTCCACTTCGGGATTGTTCGCCTGGTTGGCCAAGCCGTTCGGCATCACAGCAAAGAGGTACCTGGGGAGAAAAGATGCTGCGTCGGACCAAGCACAGAATTTAAGAGGACCCCTTGGCAGTGGTGAAGAAGGGGAGGAGCCTCACTTAGTTCTGCACACCCACCTTCAAAGTTGCCTTCTACCTTGTTGAAAGATGGAAAAAGGAGAAGTTTTGTCCTTCAACACATCACTGAGAAATCAAGGTCTGGAGGGGGGGAGAGTGCAACCCAGCCTCTACAGAAATCTATGGTCTTCCCACCAATCTGGGCTTGCTAACTTCTTACGTCATCTTTGGAGTCCTTGGAGCACTGAAGATGTGGGCTAGCCAGGTAACGAAACGTTTGCAAGAAAACAACCAAGCTCAGAGAACCCCAAGGACTCCACAGTGCAACCCTGGGCTACCCATATTCGCTTCTATTGGTACGTCATCTTTGCCTGCTTGGTTGAGGGCTCCGTCACTAGAAGCTGAGATTATCTGTTCCCTGGTCAAGCTACTTTGCCAGCGCTCACAAAGGCCAAACAGGCTGAGAAATCTCCCCACAAAGTTAACTCTCAAAACGGGAGTATCAGGGTCCTTTGAAAGAAAGACCTCTCTGGCTGGGCTTGCCCATCACACTTGGTCATAATGGTGCTTGGTTAGGTTTAAGTCTCATATGTTCCCAGACATTCTGGCCTACAAGCAGCATTACGGCTGAGATTTCTCAATAAAACAAGCCATGGTTTATCAGAATCCATGACCAGTGAGTGAACAGTGAATTAGGCCATTACTTTTAATCATGACTCACTGACCACAGGAACCTGGTCCACAAGGAACGCTAAGCCAGGAAACATGGCTGACAAACCACAAGGCCTAGGTCAACTAATGTGCTATGTCCCCCCACCAAAAACCCCAAGCATTGTGCACGTACTCCACCATGGTGGCTTACTCAACAAACCATGCTTTTAAACATGTCTGGCTTTACACCATGTGTTAAATGAGTCACTTTGAGAGGCTGAGCATCAGCCATAAAAAACTCTCCTCCACCTGCTTTTGCTGTTCCCGTTCCAGCATTCTTCTTCATGAAGGTTGCCGGCAGCCATCTTCTCGTTGCTACAGATGTTGCTGGGAAGGGAAGACCAAAACTTCCTCGCTTGCTTCAGTTTCTCCTTCACATCTGTCACCTGTTGGTTCGGCAAGAAAAAATCAACCTCTGAGGTGCTCCTTATGCTATCGGCAGTTGCCTTGTCTTACCTGCCAGACCCAGTTAGCTTGACTGGTTGTGGTTCTCTAAAGTGATGTTTCTCAACCTTACCAACTTTACGGTGTGTGGACTTCAACTCCCAGAATTCCCCAGCCAGCCATTTCTGTGGTAGTGCCTGCTCTCTGTGGAATGGCATGCCCCCTGAGGTTAGATTGGCTCCAACCCTGACGGCCTTCCATAAACCCCTTAAAACCTTTGTTGGAGGCACGGGGGCCATGAGAGTTTGAGCCTGTGAATTTAATCAGTTCATCACTGACTGGTTTGTTCTCAATGGCCGTTTTTTCTTTTTATTTCCTGATTATATCTTGTTATTGTGAGATGGGGGGCCACATCCATCTAGCCAATCCATTGACCTTCCCCTACTGGGGTATTCTCCAGGCAGATGGACATCAACTCTTAAAACTGCCCAGCTGACATGGCATGACATGCTTTGCACCTAGCACCCACGAATACTTGGAATCCTGAGAGTCAATTTCTTGATACCTATTCCTTTTTTGGGAGCTCAACGCGGAACATGTGGCATTTTATTCTCCCAAAAAACTTGAACAGTGGGTTTCACAGTGCTATTGTAACCCATTCCAAGCCGTAGTGGCCATTATCCAGGTCTCTGCACTCACCAGTCGATCTAAACTTGTGCCTGCAGCTGTTGTTGGACGTTCCTCTGGGTTGTAAGGCCTGAAGCGGGCACTGAAGCTACTGTCTGAAGCTGAGCGGGACGTTCGGCTTTGTGCCAGCATCTTGGGTTGTCCACATCCTTGAAAAACCTAGGCCAGTGAAGACACATGAGAACATGAAACATCTTGTGAACTTTCTTTACCAACTGGCTCTCTCCACCCACGCTTTCATGAAGCACTTGCACCACCAGGCTGGAGTCAGTCTTCCCCAACCTAAATTATGTTCGGAGGTTTTGGGCTTTAAGTCCCTAATCCCTCAGCCAGGAGCACAAGTTGCTGGAGAAATCCCACTGCCTCGCCTACGTGGAATTCTTGGTCATCTGTGGCGACTAGTCAAGTTTTTAAATTCAGCATTCACACTTCATGGCCCCATTAGTTGGCAAATAAAGAGAATCTCTGTTCTAAAGCAGCAACTAGTTAGCAGCTCCCTGTTAATAACCGATATTCTACAGGCAGCTTATAAGGAAAAATACATTTTCAGGATTGCATTCAAGGCAAAGGGACTCGCGTGAGGACGAGGACTTTCTCACAAAACATCCAACGGGAGACACACCATAAAGCTGCCTGAAATTCTTCCGGCACCAGAATTTTTTTTCCTGATGCATGTCTTCCAGGTCAACCGTTCCCCTTCTTTCTCCTTGCTCCCCCTCCCTCCTACACAAAACACCCCCAACATACCTTTTGGGACACCTGTAAGCTGTTTTCTTGCATATTCATGATGGCATCTGAAATCTTCACATCGATGGGGTCCATGACAGACTCAATGTTGAAAGGACCTTCCAACCTCTCAGCCAACATAAGCATTGAATCTAGCAGCGAAAACCAGAGATAAACAGCCATGGTTGATTTTTCCCACTTTTGCCTCAAATTCTCCAATACCTGGAACTCCAGGAGATGTGCAGACCAGAACAGATCATCCCATTTATGCCTTCAGGAGGTTCTGGGAAAGATCCCAGGACTTGCCAAGAGCAAAGCTACCTGTGGCTCCCTCCGACCCTTCCTTCTCAGCTTCTTGCGCCATCCACCGAACATACCTCCTATTTATAAATAAGCTCGTTATTATTAGCCACCAATTCTGTTAAAAGAGTTTTCTATGAAAGGGGATTCCAAACCCATTTGAAGTTTCAAACCATTCCCCTCTCTTCTTTATCCTTCCAGACCAGCTTTTCCTCTGGTCCTCCTTGAACAACCTGACTTAAGCTGGATTCTTGAGACACACGCAGTTTTCTCGGCATGACAAATGGTTTGCAACTGTCTTCTTCTGGGACCTGTGACTTCTCGGTCTGGCCCACAGCCCAGCGATTCCCTAGAGGACTCCCATCTGGTTCTTCCCACCCAGGCCCGACTCAGCCTAGCAAAGGCTGTCCAAGGGCCGCCGCTCCATCTGCCCCCCACCACAAAACAGGAATTCCTCCCAGATCTCTGCCCTGTCCAGCCCTTTGCATTCAGACGTGAACACTGGTGGAAGTATGTTGATCCACATTGTAAAAATAGGAAGTATCTGGCTTATTTGCTGCCCTTCTCCAGGATCCCACACTTTAGAGCAGGAAAACAGGCATTTGGTTTACAAGCTTTGGAGTCCCCCTTTATGAGTCATTTCAACGAGATGGGCAGTGACAAATCTGGCATATAAATAAAAAAATTAAAATAAATTAATGGCAACTACCAGATGTTTCAACAGTCCTCTGGCTTATGCTGCTGAAAAGGGGATGTGAACATACAATGTGGCTTGTTATCCAGACACCCCAACACTTCAGAAACCGGGCTGGAAGTCTGGCCACAGCGCCTCTTGCTTCCCCATACCGGTACCTCTGACCGGCCTCCTGCTCCTTTAATTCCGTGCTTCCTCCTGCCAACTCTCCCCGGGGGAAGGAAGGGGAGATTCCAGACTCTTCAAATTGCACCCTTCTCTGAAATGTTGCAATCAGAACAAATTATCTAAAATAAATAAGAACATCTGCCTTCCCTGCGCTGTTTACTCAAACTGGCTTTCAGGTCTTCCTGTTTGCAGAAGCAGAAGTCAAGAATCAGCACACGTGAAAACGCTTTCGGCTAAAAGGCAATCCGTCATGTGGTGCGATTCAGAGGTTTAGTTCCTCAGAGGGCAAAGCAGGGCACGTGTCTTAACGCTACGGGTAAGGGTGCCGTGCCAAGGAGAACTGTTCCCCTCAAAGCAGATGATCCGGGGGAGTTCCCCAAAAGGAAAGCTGGATCTTATGAAATTAGGAGACCCCAAGAAGGAAGATTCTTCCATTCCTGCCAGAGAAGCGCCAAGAGATCACAGTCATTTGGAAGCCGTGCCAGCCACGTCCACATGGACACACACCATCCCATTGCAAAGCAAGGACCACAAGAGGTCAGCCCACCCTGCAACAGCAGAACAGGCTCTGAGAAGAAACAGTTCTGTTGTTTTATTTATGGACAGGAGACCCAGTTCAACAGGAGGGTTTTTCCTGCTGAAATTGTTGATTACAAAAAAAAAAATCAAGAAATATTTCTACTGAACCAGGGAGCAGAAAAAACTCGTGGTCAATACCTTGCTGGTCTATGACCATAGTTTAATAGTCCTGAATTTGTGGCCAATGAAATGCTTTCACAAAAGATAAAAGTGAAATACACAAAGACACACACCCTGTCTGCTTGACAGTTGCATTTCAGCTCTGCCATACTTTCAAGGTGGTATCTGGAAACCCATTATTTTACCCACCCAACAACCCTGCAAGTTTGCTTTTTGGCTGTCAGAAAGGGACTAGCCTGAAATCACCCAGTGAGTTTGTAGAATTTGACCTGGAGTCTCTACCAACCAACTTTCCACCTGCAACGTCACAATGGGACTCTGAGGTGTAAAATCTTGGTGGGATCTCAACAATCAAGTAAGACAGGCACACATTCCTAGCCACGCTGGGTGAATTGAGCCCCCCAGATGCTGATGTATTAGCATCACACACATCACGAGTGGAAAATGCAAGCCTAGAATCAGGAAATCTGATGGCTCTCCTTGGAAATTTATTCCACCACCCTTCCTTCAGCGGTAGCCGAGAAGAAATGAACTTTATTGCATCACACAATGAAGCAGGGATGAGGTAGGGGATGGGAAGCAATTAGGAACAAAACTCTTCCCTTCTCAAAAACAAGAACAGTTAAGAATTAAGCATTTCGGAGGGGGGGACCGGATGGCTTCTGCCCCCTGCTAAAATCTGGCTGGGGCACGCTGCCAAGAATGGTGCTGAGTGAGGCATCCCCCACCTCACCCCGTGGCGGCCTCTGACATTCGGAATGCTGGCTGGGGTTCAGGGCAACGATGCACTCATGGGCGCATTGCACAACCACAGAGGCGGGCGAGCCAGACACTCCAGGGCACATGTGCCTGGGACAGCAGTGAGAAAGAGTGGGATTGTTTGTTCGCCCTGCGGGGAGACATTCCTTCCCCAGAGATTAAGGACAGGAGAGAGTTGAGCAACCTGGAGGATCCAAGGCACCTTTTAGTAACTCTGCTGCAACACTTGGTCGCCTCTGAATCTGGAATCTGAACCGGGGGGACATCCGCGTTCAACAATATCCACAAGACATCACGCAAGGGGACCTTTCGCAAGGCAGGAGGGCAAGAATCTGGCTACCTGGGAGCATTTTGACCTAATGCCTGCCCTGCCCCTCTCAATCCAACATGCTGACATCCTAGAGAGCCGGGGAGAAGCCGGGGGCACTACTCTGGGCACAGGCGTCTTTGGGATGGGAAAGACCTCCGCACTTCTCCTGCCCGCGTGAAAGCTCTCGCGCCCTCTTCTCACAGCCTTTGACCTTCAGCCATTCTGAGCGCAGCAGAGACGCGGACAACCGACAGATTGTCTTCTTCGGCCCAACATTTTGATACCCTGCCCTCCTTCGGTTACTCCCCGCTTCTTTTGCTGTCGCTCTTTTCAGATCTGGATTCTTTTGGTTACAGTCCAAAAGCTGCTATGTTTGTATCTTCTCTTGTAAAACTGGAATTCTGGGCCCCCGAAATGCCGGACAAAGCAGCCCTTTGTAACGACCCCCAAAGAATGTGTATCAAACCCACTGGCCAAGCAATCCTCGGAAATCACAACTCACCGAGCCTGGCAATGACCTTAATTTTATTGCTCACACCTAACCGTATCCTGGTTACCTATAAGCAACTTTTACTCACCATGCGAGAGTGGCTATGAAATAAAGGTGGTGGGCAGGTCACTCATTCTCTCAATGAATATTGGGAATCGTAGTACTTGGAGAAAGGTAAACACCCAGACAAGATTTACCAAAAGGAGTCACACGTTCTCTCCTGGCACCACCAAAAAGAAACCAGCCAATTTCGTGACCCAAAGCAGAACATCTCACAAGCTCTTCGAAGTGAAAACACAACCACGGCTTCAAGACCACCTTTCTTGCAACTGTGGGCTTTGGGGAACTGCAATACTAATTGTGGGAGATTCACTGGGAACGAGACTTCTCCAGAGAAGGATTGCAACCTTATAAATAACCAATCAGCCCCCAGCACAAAGTGTGAGAAATGCAAGCGAGGTGCCCGTTAAGTGGTGGGGGAAGCAGAAAGGACTTCTAGAGCAAAACTGCAGAGGGTAGAAGGGAACTCACCCTTACATTTACCCAGGGCAACCAACTGACATTGGTTTTATTTACTATGAAATAAAGATACTACTAATAAAGATAAAGAGTGGGGTACTTGGGAGGGCCCCAGCTTGGGAAACAGCAACCTAAACAATGGAGGATTAGTCGCCTTAATTATGCCTCATCTCAACCTTTGATGACAGAGATGACAGAGTTTATCTGCCTTGGCCAATGATAGGACCAGCAAGCAAGCAAATCAACCAATCAAACATTGTCTGAAACACACACACACTTCTTCTTCTTCTTCTTCTTCTTCCTCTTCTTCTTCTTCTTCTTCTTCTTCCTCTTCTTCTTCTTCTTCTTCTTCTTCCTCTTCTTCTTCTTCTTCTTCTTCTTCCTCTTCTTCTTCTTCTTCTTCTTCTTCCTCTTCTTCTTCTTCTTCTTCTTCTTCCTCTTCTTCTTCTTCTTCTTCTTCTTCCTCTTCTTCTTCTTCTTCTTCTTCTTCCTCTTCTTCTTCTTCTTCTTCTTCTTCCTCTTCTTCTTCTTCTTCTTCTTCTTCCTCTTCTTCTTCTTCTTCTTCTTCTTCCTCTTCTTCTTCTTCTTCTTCTTCTTCCTCTTCTTCTTCTTCTTCTTCTTCTTCCTCTTCTTCTTCTTCTTCTTCTTCTTCCTCTTCTTCTTCTTCTTCTTCTTCTTCCTCTTCTTCTTCTTCTTCTTCTTCTTCTTCTTCTTCTTCAGAAATTACTGCTCTCACCATTTCAGGCCACTTCCTGATCACTGCCTTCAAAGTTATTTAAATCTTCCCAAAAGTCCTTTACTCAGTAGGGCAACAAGTAACTCACCCTTTGCAATGTCTTCTCAGTGGGGGGAAAAGGGACTTTTTTTGGAAAACGGAGGAAGCAGTCCATTCCCTCCCTCTCCCCCCACACCATATTCTCTTTTCTCTGCTTCTTCTCTACATACCCTTCCCTGAACAAGAAATCTAGTTTTGTAGCAGTGGGCAAAATCAAGCCCCCAAAAATCTCCGATCTCAATGACCACCTTTGTCCTCTCGTAAAAGAGAGCTTTTTTTCCACCCCCCCCCCCCCCGCCAAAAAAAACCGCACACCCAGCCCTGCTCACCTATGAAGTTATTCCACTCAGTGTCCAGCTCTCCTTGGTTGGCCAGGCAGCCTCGCATGACGTTGAAGCAATAGTTGTAACAGGGCTTGATGGCAACTAAGCCTCGGCAGAACGGGCAGTACATCATCTTGGTCAGGGCGCGAACCCCTTGCGGCGTGGGGTTGACCTTTGAGAAGGCAAAAGAAAAGGAAGGGGAAGAACCAGAATTATTATCATCGTTGACCCTCACTTATACATTTGTCTACGGCAGTGCTTCTCAAACTTGGGAACTCTAAGAAGCGTCGGCCTTTACCCCCCCACTCCACCACCCCCCCCAAACCCAGCGGGAGGCCCCGGGGGGGGGGAGGTCCCATCCCCAAAAATATAA